CACCGTGTAAGTCAATCGAGAATATTTTGTCAAGTACGTATTTCATTAGAAAAATTGGTACCCGCCTGCGGGTTTCGAACACCGGTGCATCGCTTGATTCGAATGCATCGGACGTCTTATCCTTTAGGCCACGACGACTTCATGTCACAATATTGTCGAGGGACGGTATCCGGAAATCGTAAAGAGCAAAGGTGATCTCTTCGAGCGCAGTGCAGACAAGGAAATTGGAGGAAACAGCCATGAGGTGCGATGGAGCAAAAATTCTATAATTAATATCTCAACGCAAACCTACTTAATGATTTCAAACGGTCCAAGAGATCAGGATTATCGCTGACACTACACTTGGACAGTCTGAATAGCTTGGCATTTAAAGTAAAGAGATAAGAGCACCAACGAAGTCAAACAGGTTTGAAAAACTCCATGATTGTGTTCTAATAAAACGAATTAAGAAAATGCATTAAAAAAACTAACATTATTTACATCTGCTTAACGGATAAAACAGATGAAAACAACTTCTAGTTCCAAATTTACTTTAGTAATAATCGTGTTACACATAAATTTAAACTGACTATATAAATGTAGAAAAAAACATTTTACGCATCAGTAAAAACGCTTAAACAAATGGCTCACTGAATTCACTTTTTGCATTAACATTTTGTACTACATCAAGTTTAAGTATTCATAAATTAAGAGCTAAGTGATTTGTGCGGTCGTAATAAAGTTTTTGTTGCAATAACAATCGTAAGATAAAGTTTTCCTTTCACTATATTATTCCGTTGAGGTAATGTACAATGTTCGTGTTAAACTTGAATTTAAAGAGGCTTATTACGCGATGTCCTTACTAAAGATTGATGAGTGCTGTCTGGACACTTAAGAATTGAGATACTGACATCGAATTTACAAAAATAAACAGATATTCTTTTAGTTTGTAAAACCATTAATAAAGTTAAAAACAAGAGATTGAGAATGTACATTTTCTAATTTATCAGGTTTTTTTTTAAAGTAGTTTGACAATTAGAATTCGTTTTCTAGTCTGTGTTGTTGAGTGTTTAGACTCAACTGAAGTGTTTTTGATAATTTTAAATTTGTATTTTGACGTGGTGCAAAATGTGATATTTTTTACTATATTTTTTACTTTAAAAAATATTGACTGTTGTTTTCTTTTTTGTGTATGTTATGTTTGAAAGGTATGCTTATTGTGGAATAGGGTTGGTCCAAGGACCTTGCTTAACCTTGCTTAACTGTTCCAAATCCCATAATTAAGTTTAATTGATACTCTTAATTATATTCTTAAGGTCTGAACGCTTATTTACGTCCTAAATAAAACTAATTTTACGGTGTAATATTTCTTTATTGTCATTATATTTTATCTGACGTTTAGAAAACTTTACAGTTTTCTTGGTCGCGGAGTAAAGGTAGTTTTAAACCGTAACATTGTATTAAATTACGACTACTGACTCGTTGAAACTGGAAGAGAATACTATATTCATGTCCTCTTTTGAACTAGTTCTGAAAAGCGCCTTGACGCTACTGCAGTCCATAACACTTCTAATTTGATACGATAGACCGGGAAATCGTATGAATGCGCTAATTTTGACCCAGTGATTAACTTTGTATATGTTATCTATCATATCAGAATAAAATCTAAAGCGAAACATGTAACATGACCGGTGTCAATCACAATTTACAAAAGAATTCATGTTAATCGTAATCTCGAAGGCGTGATGATATCACTATCAACGTATGCATTCATATTAATCAGGCCGGATCACAAAAAGATTAGCGCGAGTTCTCTTCACATGCTAATGAAGTAAAGTAAAACATTTTATTATGAGGCAATTTTAAAGGCAAATCATCATCGCTCGACGAAGCCTAATGGAAGACGCGCACGTAAAAAAGACAACTGGGTAAATTGTTTTAAATGGGCGGCAGGGCCCACGCCCCGACTGACCTACAGACGGTCTTTATGGCAGAAAACGAAAAAAAATACACACTTACGATGCAAATTTTCGGAGATCCGTCACATTTTTGTATTATTCTAAATATTGGAACCACTGACTTTCCGACTGTTGGTTACAAGGCATGCGGTCCCCATTTCTTGTTTTATTGAACTGATAGATTAATTAGGTAACGGTTCACGAAGTGGAAAGAGGTTACCGAATCCTGAATATCCGAATCAAGAATGACTGTTCAAACGGAGGAGGGCAGGAATAGGCATGATAATGGTTACAGACCCGTGTGGCCTTACAATACATTGTATCAGTAGTAAGTAGGTACTTAGTGAGCACTTAGCGGTAGGCAGCGATTTGGCTGTGTCGCTGGCATAGCTGACGTCCATGAGTGACGATAATTGCTCACCATCCGTATCCAGGCCGTATGCTCATCAGCCTGGTCACAAGAGTAATAAAAAAATACCAGCTTTCGATCGCAATACGCTAGTATAATAAATAATCCATGAGTCGCCTATTATGATACTCAAGAGAAGATATACCTCCAGTACAAATAATTCTTTATCAATCGTCCGTTGCGCCCCTTTTTTTTTTCTCGGGCCGGGGGCCGAACCTCCTACGAGGTCCCCGCGCCTAGGGGGCGCGCGGGGTATGTGAGACTCAACGATCTGCAGGTGTTGAGAGCAGATCGCGGGCCCAAGGATTTTAGGGCCCACCCACTAAACGACTCCCCTGCACTCTTACACCCGACGTCCGATCCCCGTCCGGGGTCAGAACCCGTTCAGAGTAGGGGGGTTCCCGCGGTCAACACTACAACCAGACACGCGGCGCCACCCCGAGGACGCCCGACCGACGGGTCGTCGAGGCGATAGTCGACGACCAACGACGTCGGTCTCCGCGGTACGGCGGCCCTACCAGGCCGCCCGGGCGGTGCCGCTGGTGTTCCGGGATACCCCGCTGGGCCAGAACCAGCCTGCCGGGTCGGAACGCGATACACCGCCGACCGGGTTGTCCGTTGCGCCCCTAAATCAACTGCCACATTAATTCTTACTGTGTTCAGCAAATCTAAGATAAAGAGTTCTTCACGAGGTCACGAGGAATAAGAATATTTCCGACCATCAATCCCAGGATATAGGTACACGATTTATCTTGCCTGTTTTTAATTTTCTTATTTATCGGCTTAATTTCTCCTTCATTAGTTCTTTAAGCCCTCGTGGTTGATCATGTTGCGAACGTTCACTGCACAGTTGCTCATTTTAAATATGTACATATTGTATCAAATTTACGAACGTAACAAGACAGAACCACTAAAAGATCGCGCCACTCAATAATTTTCAAAGTTTTTACGTTTCCTTATCAAGGTTAAATACATCACTCCGGTCTGAACTAATTAGTCACGTCAAAAATGAATTGCAGATACAATTCATTACGGACCGTTTGATTGACGATCGTATTTAGTATGGGCGATGTTGAAATATCGATGTTAGGAATCACGGTACGGGTCTAATTCTTAGAATCGAATTTATCACTTACTAGTGACGTTCGTCCGTGATTTGACCATCGTTAAACATATTATGCAATACACCTTATTATCTTCAGACGACTCGCGCGCCATCTGTGGAGCGGTGGATCAACCTGTGGCGGTAGCCATCATAGAACACAAAATATTTGACAAATGCCTGAATCTCGCTTACGACAATTTCAAGATAAGCTTGCCTGTATACAAGTTCCGAACAACAACATCTGGACCGTCGGTCTATCGAGTAATATCATCGCTCGGTGGAAGATCTTGCCCTCCATCGTTAAGCATTCTAGAAACCGCCTCATCTACCAACGGCAGTTTTCTTCTTTTTCTTTCTTAAATATACGCTGATAGCCTAAGGGTCTATTCCAGCTACGCTATTGCCGGTAGGGTGGTCCCTCACGCGCTCAACCTGAGAGAGTTTGCTGACATTTTTTTATTTTTTTATTGCCTAGATATGTGGACGAGTTCACAACCCACCTGGTGTTAAGTGGTTACTGGAACCCATAGACAATCTACAAAGTAAATGCGCCACACATCTTGAGATATAAGTTCCAAGATCTCAGTATAGTTACAACGGCTGCCCCACCCTTCAAGCCGAAACGCATTACTGCTTCACGGCAGATATAGGCGGGGGGCGGTGGTACCTACCCGCGCGGACTCACAAGAGGTCCTACCACCAGTAAAAAATCTGCCCTATTCTAGCAGTGCTTCGCAAAATTTAGCACTGGATCGGAGTCGCGACCCAGTGAAAAGGTCCGGTGAGAAACTCATTTAGTTGTGTCTATAAAACTAACCTATAAGCTTTTAACACGTTACAAACGGTCATTTTTAACACGGTTTTATTGACTCGATCTGCATCTATTTAAATATGTTACGGAATAATTTAACGTTATTTCCACTAGCTTCAACAGGTGAAGTTGACTTGGAAATTTGCTAATGCATCAAGAACTGATGAAGGTGTAGTAATTTTATTATCGTCGCCCGAAATCCTGACTATGATAAAAAGGCTTTCAAAGCCTTTTTGTAGCTTTAATACTGTATTTTCTAAAGCATTGGTATATTCATGTTATGTTTCCAATAGGCTATGACTGCTTGTTTAGGGTTTTTTGAGTTATGCTTGATGTATTTACTACAACTAAAAGTCAACTGATTAGCCTTTGTCAGGTGCCTCTTCCCTCATTTGAACGGCTAGTAAATATTCATATTTCATATGTTAGTTTTAATTTACTTACTTACTTCTAGCTGTTTCCATAATTGTCATTTATTATTAGTAGATTTTTGTAGTCAAAAGTAATAAATTAACAGAAAAAAAAAAACTCTACTTTTTGTCAAAACATTCATTTTGTTTTTGGTTTTCTCGCATTTGACAATGATCTCAATATCAAAGGAGAAAACGTTATACTAAAAATGAACACTACTTGTACAAAATTTTTATTTTGCTGAAAAAACAATTTTGGGGATATTGGGAGGGTTCTGTTTTGGTAATTTGAACTCAAAAAGCGAGAATTCTCTGTTTATGTACTTACCGGTTCTATTTCTCCCTGGCTGTCCTTCCCGAGACCTTCGCCTTTGGACCAGCCCATCTTCTCTAGTAGCCGGAAACCTTTGTTCTCGGGCGCGATAAACCTGTTAATATTCGGGCAAATTACAGCTTATACTTCAGGGCGACCGGCGAAATATATCTACTATCTATTTGTATAAGGAAAATTAAAAGTATGTATGTATATTTGCTCTCTATGCGTTCCTAAGTCATTCATCAGTTTGTGATGCAACTTAATACAGTTTGTTGTTAGCGCGGAAAGGTTTCTGTTATAATGCCTAAAAAAATGTTTTCATACAATTTGTCAGCTCGGAGTTTATCCGTTTTTCACTGGCTATTGAAATTTCAAATACGACTTTAGTGTACATATTGAACGTATCAGTCAGTCAGTATCAATTGAAATATTATTTATTCTATTCATTCCATTATAAGTATAAATTGGCTGTATAAGCTAAAAGGCATAAGCCTTACATGTTTTACATGTCAAGTTTATTGAGAATAGCTGTCACTGGCTGTCAAAACTATCTGTCACTTCTTTCGCCGTGGTTTCGTGGCTCGTTGAGTGTGAATTTTCTAATCTTTAAAAATGTTGATAATCTCAAGAAATGTAAAGTATTTTCGCATTGATTTTTATAAATAAATTGTCGTTAAATGTTATGGCGTGTTCGTTTTTTTTAACGGTCTGCACACTCGCCCGTTCCCGAACTTACATTGCCAGTTCATAGGTACGCCATACCTATGTTAATAAACAGAAGTGTTATTTTAGAAGTAGATTTTGATTTTCTTTTGCTATGAGAGCTTGACTACCGTGTGGTCTGATGAAGTTCAGTAATAGAGCGTGGCTACTGAATCAAAGTGAGGCAGGAAGTCGTTTTAGTTTAATTTTTTAAATTAATTATATTTATGCTGTTGTATTTATAAGGGGTGACGTTGCATAGACTATATATGCAGCATGGATTTTGTTAGCAGAAACTAAAATAATTAAACAGAGACGTAAATGATTCGCGTGCTGCTAAGCCATTTCGCTTCAGAAATAGGCTGATTCAGATTTCTTGAACCGTATGACTATTTTTCGATAAATTATTTACTTGATTTTTCAAATTAACAACGCACAACGCACTTCTACACAAAGCACACATCCGATTTTCTAGTTCTAATGTTGATGTTGGTAATTTTATTTTCAGAATCGAATACGGAGTGCATATTATTGTATAGTACTAGCCGTACTCGCCCGCTTCGCTGGGCATTTAAAATTAATATTATTATTTATTCTCATTATTATTAGGGAGTCCAACGCTCATATAAATATTAGCCTATCCATTATGTACATATATTTTCTACACGGATACCAAGTTTCAAGTTAATCGGATACATGATTCAGTAGTTATAACGGAAAATCCGTAAAAAGCACTGCAGATTTATATATTAGTATAGATTAAACAATGTTTATTTTAAAGGATTTTTTAGGACCTGGTAACTAAGGCCTTTAGGTCAAGGTATTACAGTACACTTAATTACCACTGAGATAAAATATTGCGTGTACTATATGACCATAAAGCAAATCATAAAGGTAGTTTTCCAATTACAGCACTAGAGCGCATTATGCGGCATAATGCTCAACGTTGAATGTTTCAACTACAGCAACGCTTAGCACAATCGACCACTCTCAAAAGTAATGCTCTCGCGTGATACTCGCAATCGATACCGACTCAGTGACAGAAAATTGACAAGTGTTTTTTCTTTAAGTTGGCATTGATCGAAATTTTGTTTATATTATCGTTAGTAATATTATTCATTGTTCAAAAAAATTTGTAAGGCTTTCGTTTCGTCGTAGTTTCTTGGAAATAATCAAAGTTAATTCAAACTGTGCTAAAAAAATAAATATAAGTATGAATGAAGGTACAAATAATTAGGTTTTTTTTTATATTCCACATTTAAAATGTGAATACAATTTCATTTTAGAATTCGAATTTGTAAACAAATTTACTTTACAGGAATATAAATACTTTTGTAAACATTGCAATGGCTTGATCGAATCATCATCATGAACTCAGCGCACTCTGCTGATGCATTTGAAAACTAATACACGTTCCAATTAAGCTTAATTAAGCATAATTCGGCATTCTATGCCACTGAGTCTCATAATGCTCTGTAATTGGAAAACTACCAAAGCGAATAGTGTTACGCACGTGTCGAGGTCTGTAGTCTGCGTTTTCTCGGCTTCGTGCGAGGAGCCGACGGCGTCGCGGCGGGCCTGCGCGCGGTCGTTGTACGCCGTCTCCTCGATGCTCAGCACCTTCGGAGCGTACTTGTTCTTCAGCCGCGCCAGCTCGAGCTGGTGCTGCCGCTGCACGCTGCACGTGCGCGTGTACGCGACTTTCTTCTCTCGCTCCTCTACTAAACAATACAGTTGACATTTACTTATAGGCACTAGAGATCACGGTCACTTATAATAACTATAGTAGAAATATTTTGTCCGTGCAGTTTGGGTCATAAAAAATCGGAGCGGTGAAGCGAGTATTTCTTATTAAGGACCGATGACAATACAATATTTAAAAATATTGAAATCCAACTAAAAATGAAAAATAAATAATAGTTTAAAAAAACTAACAAAATAGTATATATATACTATATACTATACTAATATATAAATCTACAGTGGTTTTTACGGATGTTCCGTTATAACTACTGAACCATGCATCCGATTGACTTGAAACTTGGTATCCATGTTGAAAATACATGTACTTAATGGATAGGATAATATTTATATGAGCGTTGGACTCCCTACACCAGTTGCGGGGGCGTTAATGATGACAATCTTTGTGAGGGTGAGAAATGATAATGTTAATTTTAAATGCCCAGCGAAGCGGACGGGTACAGCTAGTACTACATAACGACTGTCCCGCCTTTCGAATGTAGGTCTCTCTCTACCAGCAGTACATAGTTGGAGCACGACCCAGAGGCGAAGGATGGTAGGCAGCGGCTTGGCTTTGCCCCTGGCATTGCTGAAGTTCATGGGCGACGGTAACCACTCACCATCAGGTGGGCCGTATGCTCTTATCGTCTGCCTACAAGGGCAATAAAAAAAAAGGAGATAGTTACATGTCATTACGAGGCCCGGCTCGCAGTGGCCACAGGTGTCATTTCCCGGATGCACATGGCACAGCAGTTTAGTCTCGCCTATGTGTATCGTGCTGCCATGAACGACCTGTGAAAGACAAACGTCACATTAAATTTCCGAAGACTTTGAAACCTGTAACTATACTGAGACCTTAGAACTTATATCTCAAGGTGGGTGGCGCATTTACGTTTGTAGATGTCTATGGGCTTCAGTAACCATTTAACACCAAGCGAGCTGTGAGCTCGTCAACTCATCTAAGCATTAAAAAAAATAAAAAAAACCTATCCGAAATTATTTCTGGCCAACTTTTTAAGTATCAAAGCGATGAATTAATTTGTTGTATTTAGTCATATAAATTCGAGGAAAAAAATAAAATTGTTTATTCAATTTTTAGATCTAGATTTGCTATTATTATACATATTCATTTTATTATTTCTAACGTGTCGAATACTTTACACTACAGCCCGTGAACCCTAAAACTGTAAAATATTCGTAAAACAGTTTTAATTATGTATATACAAATTTTAAATCGATATGATAATAGATTAGTGTCAACTGAAAACATAATTATGATAGATAGTCCATGNGTTTATTCAATTTTTAGATCTAGATTTGCTATTATTATACATATTCATTTTATTATTTCTAACGTGTCGAATACTTTACACTACAGCCCGTGAACCCTAAAACTGTAAAATATTCGTAAAACAGTTTTAATTATGTATATACAAATTTTAAATCGATATGATAATAGATTAGTGTCAACTGAAAACATAATTATGATAGATAGTCCATGTTCAGTAAAACTTCAATGTAACGCAAAGTAGTCATGAAGACCGCTCCAACGTTGATTCGAGATTGCAAATCACGAGTATAAGCGGATTTTAAATCGTATATGTACTATAGTGGGCCAAAAAAACTTTTTTTTTTTCTTTAGGCACTACGAAAATATCGTCCAGGAAGATCCTGTGTTATTTAAATGGGAAATCAAAAATCTCGATGCGGCACCTCTAAACATTATTAGCACCTTAAGAGCTCAAACTTTAGTAGAATATTGTTTTTCGTCATCTTGGACAAATTTTCGTAGTATCTAAAGAATAGAAAACTTAAAATTTTTTTTGGCCTACCCTAATATGTACATCACTTAACTACAATATTGATGTCTTCAATTTAAAAAAGTCAAAGGTTAGCTTTATTGCCCCCATGTGTCATAAGCTTTACATTACGCACTCATGAATACCAACATATCATATTGTTACGGCTTCAGATGCGGTTCCCTTACGCTCCGAACTTAGAACGGATGGACTAAACTAGCGCCTGCTAAAAGGTGGTTAAAACTGTATCAAAAATATTTACATCGACGCGTTTGCTGACGACTTGACTCTCAGACATTCTGATACCGTTCAGTATCGTTCCATTCTTAGATCCAAGATCCACAGCGGTGTACGTCTGACGTGCGAGGTCGTATTGAATGTCCAAATGATTCTGTAAAATATTTTATTTATTAAATCAAAATGCAAGGTAGCTTAATTAAATCAAAATGCAAGGTAGTTTAATCTGTAAAATATATAATTAGATGTTTAGCTTCACCATATCAGTTGCTCCTTATATAATAATCTGTCCATACTATATATTAGAAGATAGGCTACTTTCAGTACATTAGTATTAACTTAGATAACCAGGTCATCACAAGTGGATACTATATAGGTGTAGTCATTTGTCATTTCTTTGTGTAGAACCTCCATAGCCACAGATGGTCAGTAGTCTCCGTCCTACTGGAATTATTTCTCGGCCTCAATATAAATAACTTAGCTCTAAGACGAATTCTTAAAGTGTTTGCCAATCAAGAGCCACGTTTCCCAAATAGAAATTGGCACTTGGACATACAGAAGATTATTTTGTACCAATATAGATAAAATCGTTCAATACAGTTAAATAAAATGGCCTAAATATAGTGCCATAGTAAGAGAATGGAAGGCAGCGATCACCGGGATTAATTACTGGTGGTAGCTCACCTCTTGTGAGTCCGCACGGGTAGGTACCGCCACCCTGCCTATTTCTGCCATGAAGCAGTAATGCGTTTCGGTTTGTAGAGTGGGGCAATTGTAACTATACTGAGACCTTACAACTCGTATATCAAGGTTGGTGGCGGCATTTACGTTGTACATGTCTATGGGCTCCGGTAACCACTTAGCACCAGGTGGGCTGTAAGCTCGTCCACTCGTCTNTTGTGAGTCCGCACGGGTAGGTACCGCCACCCTGCCTATTTCTGCCATGAAGCAGTAATGCGTTTCGGTTTGTAGAGTGGGGCAATTGTAACTATACTGAGACCTTACAACTCGTATATCAAGGTTGGTGGCGGCATTTACGTTGTACATGTCTATGGGCTCCGGTAACCACTTAGCACCAGGTGGGCTGTAAGCTCGTCCACTCGTCTATGTAATAATAATAATAAAAAAGAATATCACATACACAGGGGTGCACTTTGAGCTTGCACCGAGAATGTACTAGCGTCCTGCCTATTTGCTGATAGGTAGCGGTTTACCTTTGGTATTGCTGATATCCTCGAGGGGACTGACCATGCACCATAAGGTGAGCTGTATGCTCGTCTAAAGGTAACAGCAGTTTCAAAACACAATTTTTGTTTCTGGCTCATATCTTAGGGTGGGTAAAAGCTAAAGTACTCTGACTTTATGTACCAGTTAATATGAGGATTAGCACTTATATGCCCATAAAAAGTAAATGACATACAACACTTGCATTAAAGATTCTAAAAGTTTGCAACGGCAATTCCGAAGTTCTATTTATTAAATACCTCACCCTAGACACGTTATGGTCTTTTAAAACAATAGCGTGTTGCTCCCCTTCTCTTCCGATCGTGCCGCCATCTTTCGTTATCAGGAAAAGATTTCCAATTTTCAGTTTGGGTAGACTAGTTTCCCTGACGATCACGCGCATACACGGTGGATGGTGTTTTGCAACATTTTCTGGAAATAAAGTCCAAGTTTATAAAGCATAAAATAAGTAGAATACAACTGTTTATGGAAGCCACTATTCATTAATTATAAAATGTATGAAGCACGAATTTCTAATGTAGGGCACGAAAATATAAACTGATATGAGTATATCAAATTTGTTCTTATTTTGATTTCTTAATAAATATATAAATAAAAAGATAAATAAAAATTAAAACTATATCGAAATGTGCTAAAATTATTACTAGTTGTAATTTTCAAAAGGGCCATGATTTAAAACAAAAATTTCCCAAACTTTTCCTTTGATTCAGTTTTCTATAAAATGTCATCAAAAAGCCGCAAATCATGTATTTAAATTTGAAGAATGAAAAGGGATCTGTTATATAAAACTCATGTGACATGATGAGTCTTGTCTCAATAAAAAAGTATGCAGATTGGATTAACTCGCATTTGAGATTTATATAATAATAAGAAACTTTAGTGACATAGCAAGTTTCTATAAACAGCCACACATCTAGTGCTTCAAAATTTTATGAGTTCATCGTTAATTGGTTATTTAGATTTACCATCATCAGTTAATGTGGATGTGCTGGCATTAGATGAACATTCATTGTCTGACCCAGAGTCTTCATCAGCTGAATCACTGCATTCTCCATCTTCGAGATCCCTGGATGCCTTGTTGTCCTTCTTGCTGGTATCCTGTGTGTCTTCACTATTTTGTTCTTTGTCTTCTAACTCCATAACATCACATTTTTCACCATTATTTTCTATAGATTGATCACCATTTTCATCAATTTTAGCTTTAAAAGGTTTTTTATTCTTGGATTCTTTAATTTTTGAAATCTTCCTCTGCTTCAGCCTAAGGTGGCTGTCTTCATTTTCCTGTAATAACATGGTCAACTTTGGTATTGGGTAGCAACTAGGCTATACTTAATTACCTAAGGCGGTTCTGCCTCGAAGTGAAACCTGAGATAAGTTTTTCGTCAGGTTTTCCATGACATCTTCTTTTAGTTGTACCTGAAAAATATTAATTTCAGTAGTTTTAATCATTTTTTTAATATTTTTTCAGAAAAAAACTGTTACAATCCATCTCTTCTTACAAAGGATAATTTTTTAAAATATGTAAATCACGAAAATGTTTGATATATTTAATAAGAAAACCAATAAAACAATATGCACATATGAGTAAAAGATTGTAATCATATTTGCATATACATTTACATAAATCTTGTGCTCCCTGAGTCTGCACTCTTAAATGTTTTGATATTTTCATTTAAGTACGAAATTTACACTTACAGCTTTGTGCTTTCTAGCTTTCTTTTTATTATGAGCAACTAAACCAGGATTCTCGTTGCTACTATCAGGATAAGAATGAAAAACAAAGCTCTGCTTCTCGTCTGAATAGAAGTAATAGCAATTGGTATCAGTATGATAGTAGAGACCCAATTCCTGGAATAATGAAAATGAAAGAAAACTGAAATCGAAGCTAAAATGAATAAAAATTAAAATTGCTACATAAAATTGATTAATTTATTAATAAAGAAGTATTTATTACTTTAAAGTAAGCTACCTGATATAAAAGGTACAGATTTTGAAATAGATGTTTATGTTTTAGTATTTTTACAAATTATTATTGGAGATCACACTAGTCATACCATACACTTGTTTTTTCCTACTTAAGCTGATAGCCTTGAGAGGCTATTTCAGTGTAACCTTAACTAGGTGAGCTCGCGGGGCTCAAACCTGACAACATTGCTAACACGAACCCTAGCAAGGGTCATGCTTCTCAGAATCTACCAGCGAATCGGAAACGTGACCCACTGAGAGAAACTCAGTTGGTTGTGTCTGTGGGTTAATTTACTCGTCGAGCCCTTCGTCACAAGCGACAGGTTTCGACGAGAACAATGACCGGTGCTTGAGGTACCTAAAAGCAACGTTAGTAGATCGGGTGGATACGAAATGACGTGTTTTGGGCGACGTCGGCCATCGCATATCTAACAAGATGGCTGAGATACAATCTCTTAGTTTTTTTGTTGTTGCACAAAGGCCATTTTATTTGTAAGCCATGAAGCTGAATGCATATACCCCTAGAGCAGCCTTTTCCAAAGTGGGCAATAACACCCCCTTGTGGGCGCTGCAGGCCTAAAGGGGGTAAGAGACCCAGAAAAAAAGGGTGCGTTGTGTAGAGGCTTGGGAGGCGATTTGTAATTTCATCTAGGTGGGCTCTTAGACAACGAGTGAGCACTCGCTATAGACGATTTTAAGTAGGTGAAAAATTGGGGGCGCTAAAAAATAATTTATTCTCAAGGTGGGCAGTAGACAAAATAAGTTTGGTAGCCCCTGCCCTAGAGGAACACTTTTATAAAAGGTGATGAATTATATTGATTGTTTTTTTTGTGAGCTAGGTTCGGCAGAAAATCTCATGACCAACTTGACAGTAGAGTTAGTACTCTTGAACTTTAATGATACTCTTAGATTATCCTATACTTTTATAATAATATTGAAATATATTTGAATTAGGCAATCGTGTTATAGTACACACTCTGATCAAATATAATCTTGCTGACTCTGAAAACCAAATCGTACTACAAACCCTGACACTGGGCATTTAAATTATATTACTAAAAAAGATAATGGAAACTTACAGAATTATAATAATAACCAGTCTTGTAATCATAGTACATGCCCGCTGACTCAACATACACCATCCCTGTCTGCTGCAAGGCAGTCTGGGCCACTTCTTTCACTTGCTCAGCAAGAGACATCTCTCCTGAACCATCATGCAAATTCCATCCCGCTTCTATGCTTTCCTCAGATTTTTTTGTTTTCATTGTCTCCATTTGTGTCGCAGTATCGCTTGTTTTTATCTTAGGTGTTTGCGTGGACTTGGATTTGGTATTTTTTAAAGATTGGTTGTCATTGCCTGAGATTGGAGTCTCATTTTCACTGCCGTGTGGAATATTCAATTCGAACACGTTGTTTTTTTGAGAAGATGCATTTATGGATGTTGTTATGACGTTCTGGAGATAAATATTGAAACATAACCATGGAAATTCTGTATCATTCAAAAAAAGTTAGATTTTTTTATATCTCACCTTTTCTTTCAAACATTGTTTTAATTTTTTTATGACAACGTTCTTCTTTTTAATACATTTTCTCATACTCATGATCAATTCAATCATTTGTGGTCGTCGTTTCAGAGAAATTCGTAAGCTTTCCAATAATTGCATTTTCGATGACTGTAAATTAGAACTTGAAGACTGTTCTTCCATATTTCCCTCTTGTCCAAAATTGGTTGTTGCAAATTTTAGAATTATATTTTACACAGATAATTGAATAGGTATTAAACATATACCCAATGTGGTAATGAAAATATTAGTAATCAAAATTTTATTTTACCGAAAACAAGGGCCAATATTATTAACTTTTGACAAGTCTGACAGCTTCTCTAATTGTCCATTGGATTGGCAAAAGGAATATTACGCATACAGCCACATCTGTTGGCGCAAAAGGTCGAATATATGAATATGCATGAAAATTAAAAACGAATACCAATAAGATTTATTGTCTAGCTAATTATGTCTATTTCTGCTACGAAGTGTCATTTGTTTCGGTTTTAAAGGGTAGGGCTATGTAAGCTCCGTGTTTTAAGGTGAATAGCGGCATTGAGATTATTATTTTTGTCATACCATTTAACACTAAATGGGTTGATTCACTGATATTTCCATTAAAAAAAGTTTCTTATTTTATTGGCCTTGTAGACAAACGGCCATACGGCCCACCAGACCTGATGGTGAGTGGTTAACGTCACCCATCGATTTCAGTAATGCCAGGGGCAGCGCCAAGTCGCTGCCTATCGTGAAGTACTTGGGAAGCACCGTGGAGGATTGCTCGTTCCAAATGGTACGCAGTAAAAAAGATCCCTGGAAACGCACTGTGGATGAATGCAGTGGCTCCAGTATGGATGAAGTCTACTCCGGTGGCGTGCAGAGCGATGGCAAAAACGAGATGATGGGCTCATCTCGAACAATTTCTCAGAGCACTCCCCATGGAACATACGGTGCAAAAGACAGAGAGAAACGAAGTCTCTCCGCAAACCCAGAGGTCCCAAACGATCCGTGAGAATGGGATTATCAACAATCCGAACGGCCCTCTTCTGTATGTAGTCAAATGGAAGTAGCTGGTATTTCGGAACCCCGGCCCCTGAGGTGGGAGCAGTACTCTACGCGAGGCCGGACTTGTGTTTTATAAAGCAAAAGATTTTGACTCCCAGCATTTTGGACGCCAACTTGGCTATGCCCTCCAAATGACTCCGAAATTGGACATCGCTCGAAACGTCGACCTCAGGTATCCCAATACTCGTGGAAAGTTGCAGGTATACTCCTCGGCAAGTTACGAACGTAACTCCATACCTTACGTTCTTTTATATAGAATAAGAATGCTACGTAAGGTTAAGTATTTGAAATGTAGATAGCCTCTAAAGCTGGAAACTATTTTAGGTTAATAAACAAAATTGAAGAGTCAAATTCAGGGTGAATTACTTTAGTTACTAACTAAAATGAGATAATTAAAACTAGATGTTAAAAAAGGATACCTATCAATGAAAATTCATTTTGAATGTTGCTCTGAGAGTTGTGTATTCTTGAACAGTGTCTATTCTCGGGCAAGTTAATTCCTATAATGTAAATTCCCTCTACTTTTTTGCTGAGACTAAGGTTCTTAATTTCCCAATTAACATCTTTAACTTCATATTGCACCATTTTTAATAACACAGCCTCAAAGCAGTTATGCGTTTCAGTTTAAAAAGTAGGATACGACCTATAGTATCCTACACGACCTATTCAAATACCATGTAAATATTTAATAACATATCTAGGTATGCATTCTGGGTATTTGGTGGACATCAGATGACCCGTGAACTGGGAAGTCTATGAAGGAGAATTTAGAGAAACACAGGTTAATGTGGATTAAAAGAAGTACAAAGTTATTAATTTTTATTTAAATTAAAAGCTCATTAATTATATAAATCATGTGCGTACAATGGAAAATAGCATGAAACAAAAATATATCGAGGGTACATAACTATAAAATAATGAAATTGGTACGGTTTTAGTGGACAATATTAAGTACATCTACATAAGAACAAAAAAATCGATTTAAGCCGATCCATATAATTGTATACATAATGTAAACACTAAAAAGATCTATAAATGCCAAACTCTAAACGAGTACAGAGTACAAATAAAAATACATCCAAAGAAAAAATAAGAAAAAAATCAGCTCATTTCGTTCGATAGTTGCCTATAGTTTATACAATTTGTTAACCTTACATCTATGGTAATAATTAGACAAGTACAAAATGATATTTCATCCTTAAAAATATCTACTAGTAACCTAAAACTAAAGTCAGTTGTATATTTTATTATAATATTAAGTTAATTGTATTCCATAGTGTACAAACCATCTAATATTGAACAACCCATGCATTGTATATAGCGTATTCACGACAAATCATTTCATAAGGACTCGTTATCACAATGTAGAATTCGATAACGTAGTCCCGTATCAATGCAAACTCTACTGATATATCAACATAGTGTATGGAAGATCTACGCTAAAAGCTAAAACGTTACATTCCGATATGTTTTTTAATTTTAATTAAAAAAAAACAACTCTCGAAACAATGGCACTCGATCAGCCAAATACACTAATTCATTGTCATTCAAATCGAATAGTAAATAAATAAGTCGTTTCGCTTATTGTAATTGACACAGTCACGCATGTACTCTAGGCAGTGCAAGTTTAAAATATTTGGTACCACAATCCATATTCGCGTTACGAGTACGTATTAAATAGTCGATTTGTCGGAACCGTGCCTTATTCTAGGAGCTAACGTAACATTGTCTACTCCAACAAATTCCACTACCGTTTATTTATATATATATCGAAATACTCAGCGTGAAAACACTGAAACATCACAACGTTACAACTACTGTCGATCTAATTCGTGAATATATACTTTTGTATAAGAAATTCGTAATAATATATGAAAAAAAAAACTGCTCACAATTCCTTGTTTTAACGATATGAGTTTCCTTACTAATTTAATATAAATGCAATTTCGATTAACGCTAATTACAGAATTTTAAGCGATTCAAATTATTAATGTATTGAATGATTTCAATTGCTTCGACTAGCGGATCTTAAACAATTTCAATGATGATTACCGCACCGGTTCCAATGTGATTCGATAAGCTCTCATAAGATTTTAACGACGCATTTGATTCAGGATGTTGTCTCAGCCACATCTGCGTTCAGAGCGACGGAGCGAGCGAGACAGGGAGAGGGCATTAGCGTCACGTAACAAACGATCACTGAATCAACACTTTGCAGAGTTTAGTTGAAGTCGCAAATAATCGAAGCTTCGTCGCGCAGATATGGAAGAGTCATTAGTGTCGCCGCACACGGGCCACCAGCCACAACCACAAAACGCAGCCACCGACGTATTTCCTGTTGTTGAAACATTTTATACGGACACGCCACACGCTACATATGAAATGTATAAAAATTGCAGGAAAGATGCCGGGGCGGCTTTTGTGGTTGTGGCCTGTGGCCCGTGTGCGGCGACCCTTAATAATTATGATTGGAACGCGGCTACACTACGAGCTAAGAGATGGCGGTGGAGTGATTTTATGGGGGCACGTATGGCGGAGGTTTTCTGTAGGTAGGTGTGGCTTTGGGTCGCGGCGGAGTGCGGGACGCGGCGAATGGCGGCGGCGGACGGTACGGGGCATCCTCGCCCGATCTGCAAGTTCGATTAAATCATACAAAAACCGCGTATACTTTAAAATATATTCGAAGAAATATGTAAATTACAGATATAGCGAGTAAATAGGGGCAACACCACGGCCCTTAATGGACCCTCGGACAATTTTACGTTCTAACAGCCTAAATGCTTCTATTTAATAAGTACACAAATGTATGGGTTGAACGTAATGTAGGTTGATATGAAAAAGAAAACCATCCCAAAAATCCCTTTTTTTTTAATGAATAAAGACTCCTTCAAAACGATGCTTAATGCGATAACAATAGTTTCATATAAATCACATCACTTTCCTGCACCATATCGTGCTACTAAATAAATTTAATATTTAACAAATGTAACACAAATCATGAGAAAGGCGTTTATATAAAATTCAAATGAAAACAATTTTAAAAACTTCAAAATTTTAAGGGACTTAGTTTAGAATGGTCGTGATTCCATAGCCACGTTTCAAATGTAAAAGATAACAGTGATCGTAACGGACACTATATAGTGTTGCTACACATAAAAAACACAATAAGACAAAATGCAGTTACTACTACAAGGGAAAGGTCCAATAATAGTTATTTGAACAAAGTTATGTGAGCTGTTGTTTATAATTACGAATAGCAAATACCTACTGCCAAGGGATTATTGGGTGTTTTGGCCAAAAAAAACATTATTTCTTATTTTCAGATTAACAAATTCATTATATTTATTTTCAATGTCTCTTAACTGTAGAGAATTATTTAGAATATTATGACATGATATGATGAACTACTTACAGACTATTACAAGTACCTGTAGTCCGGTGCGGGCGGCAACAATGGCGGCTTCTCTTCGCGCATTATAACAGGACTTTTGTGTATAGGTTCGGTGTCTGTACGTTCTTCTAATTCGTCTTGAAATATAACGGGTATGCCCTTCGAACGGAACGCTTGTCGCTCCTCCTCGTCGCCGACACTCATTTTACCTGTTCGCGTTTATAAACTTTACAACCACATTTCTTTAGTATCACTACATAGTACAAAACAAAGTCGCTTTCTCGGTCCCTATATCCCTATATATGCTTAATTCTTTAAAACTACGCAACGGATTTTGATGCTGTTTTTTTATAATAGATAAGAGTGATTGAAGAGGAAGGTTTATATGTATAATAACGTCCATTAAATAGTGGAGAAATCAATAATAAATTACAGTTTCCGAAGTGAATAGAGTACGGGTCGAGTAGTTCGAATATAAAATTTTCCTCGCCTCTGTATTAACGTTTTAGAAATGTTTTAGATTCTTAAATAAAAGTTTTTATTATTTTTTTAGGAATTCACACAATCCCTTAATGTTTGCGTTTAGGATTAATTTATAATGTTGCCAATGTATAAGGGAGCCATTTTTATTTATACACTGGCAGCATACGAATCTACGAAATAGCACGAAAAATAAAATTTTATTTAATTTTTAACGAACTTACAATAAGGAAAGAATCAATCAAGAATTTAGTAAAATAAACACGAGATCAAACCTTAAGTGTTTTAATCACGCACTTTATTACTTTAAAAAAGTTTAGAGACAACAAAGACAAGATTTTTGACAAGATAACATTTTTGTGAACACATATTATTATATCTAAAACAAATCTTTTTTCTATTTCATTACAAACTAATCTAAAACCTATTTATAGCATTAACAACGTTACTGACTAGCATTGGCGAGTGGAGTGGGCTTACAAAAAAAAACCATTACAATCAACTAAAAAAAAGCAAGGTACATACATATATACAATATACCTATTAGATGACCTAATCTTAAAGTAGCACCGACTATGAACCGTGTAAATGGATATTGGAACATGTTTCCTAGATTTTTTATTTAGTGTTCTTTACTTTCATCTTAATGTTTATGATAAAGGATGAGATTTATAAAGCGAACTCAGTTAACTTTCGACATTTATATCGCGCTACGCATTAGCTGAGCTATAGATAAGAACGCGTCCAAAGTCGTCGTGGTCTAGAGGTTAAGACGCCCGGTGCACTAGTATCGGGCGGTGCGACTGTGTCGGTGTTCGAATCCCGCAGGCTTAACAAAAGCTCTCGAATGACTTCAGATACACTTTGAATGCTTCGCGGAAATACGTAGCAGGGAGGAGAATCCACCCGCAAGCGTCTACAATACGTCCTACCATCAGCGAATGATGTTAATCTATTTTAAACGTTAATAAATACAAGGGAACGATAACTAGCGCCTCGTGACAATTTCGATCAGCAAATTGCTTAGTCAAGTAAATAGTTTTTAATTTCATTGCGCATTTCATTGTTTTCGAGAGTCCGTGTTGGTTTTATTAAGCCCCGATGCTTTCGTCAGTTTCATCAGAACAGCATCAGCTAAGTGTACAAAGTAGCTACTCTTTATAGATCTCACCCTGATGTTCCACTGTCTCGGTTACTTAGCAGCTTTCGGCACACACACGTGAGTTTATAGTACTTAGTGAACTCCCAACTTAGTGAAACAAGCGAGCCTAAATAATGAAATGATCGCTAAATACAAGCGTTCGACGACGTTACGTGTTACGACAAGTGGTGTTACAATCACCTGGCCATTGTCAGGAATTGTCACCTCCTACAGAATTTAGAAAACATTAATTTGATTTATCGATTTTTTTTATTTAGTTCCATGAAGGTCGGTATAAAAATAAATGTTTAAAGTAAGATGACATACGGTCTCTCTCGTTTAACCCTTTGACTGCCGTATGGGTCACCGGTGCCCTGCGCGGCGCATTGAAGTAATATTGTCGATTTCTGTTACTAAGGCGCCTAAGGATAAGTTTTGTTTTAGTCTTTTAGGTCTCTCAGAAATACATTCGATTTCAGTATCCTTGGATTCGTCTTTCCCAGAGTCTACTAGGTATTCCGGCGTTTTAGTATAGTATGCGCGGAAGCGCTAGTCACCGCCTGAGGTATGTGAGCGGCAGGGCGGGCGAGGTAGACAAATGTCAAGCTAACTCAGTCTGCCGTCGACCGCCGCGGCGGTTACACGATTCAGTTGTTCTTGCCAGTTTGTTCCAAATGTGTCCACCAATTACACGACGGTATAAAATGTAATTTACAATGTGCACAGTTTTTTTTCTTAGACCGTAATGAGAATTATGTGTTACTTCTCCACGAAAATCTAAAGAAATAAAAAGAGAATCCACATTGATGATTTCGACACCGGGGTGTTACGAACGAAAATTCATCAGTTTTTGTTGATAAAAAATCAAAATAGATAAATATTTTTTTTTTATAATGTACTATAACGGCGATTGCGTATTTTTTTTATTTTCTTATTAAGAAATGTTAATTTGCTTATAAAATTGCTTTGTATCGTAAATAATAAGATATAATAAACACTTTTGAATATGCATTTTTTGTTTAACCAAGAAATAGAAATATACAATATTACAATTAGGTACCCATTACATTAACTCTAATATGTTATTCTGAGATTTATCTGCACTTAAGTATAATATCGTGTACGTCTTGTCAATCACGCCCTCCCCCGTGTTACCCCGCCACATACCTCGGGAGGTGACTAGCACTTCCGTGCGCACTATAACAGAAATCGGCATAATTATGTACTTCAATGCGCCGCATAGGACACCGGTGACCTACACGACAGTCCAAGGTTTAAGGGATCAAACGGAACGTGTTACCTGTCCGCCGCCTCCGGTACAGCACGCACGCGATGACGCCGGCCAGCAGTATCATGCACACGATGACCACGGCCGGAATGATGAACGTCACGAGGTAGCTCTGCTCCGCGGCGCTGCCCGTCTTGCTGTTCTGCGAGTTGGGCGCGCCGGGGTACAGCGCCGGCGGGACCTTCGATACTTTGGTGTTCTGCTCCGCGCACAGGCCGAGCGGGTTGAGAGTTATCGACATCACTTTGAAGTCCTTGTCGAAGACTTGATCGACGTTTTCGCGGAGAGCGCCGCCTCTAGAGCCGCGATCGTCTACGATGATCATCTTGCGGAGTTGTTCGATTTCCGCCTTCGGGCATCTGTCCATTGGCAAGCTAGTGTTGTACCTGTAATCGATATAAAAATAATAGTTAATTAATTTCAAATCTGTCATAATTGAAATCCATTCAATTGAAGACTCATAAGTTATTATGGGTACTTTTTATTGGTGGTAGGACCTCTTGTGAGTCCACACGAGTAGGTACCACCACCCTGCTTATTTCTGCCGCGAAGCAGTAATGCGTTTCGGTTTGAAGGGTGGGGCAGCCGTTGTAACTGTACTCAAGACCTTAGAACTTATATCTCAGAGTGGGTGGCGCATTTACGTCGTAGATGTCTATGGGCTCCAGTAACCACTTAACACCAGGTGGGCTGTGAGCTCGTCCACCCATCTAAGCAATAAAAAAAAAAACTGTAAATTAATTTTTTAGCAAATATCAGCCGTTGCAGTGGTACGTGGCCAAAATATAAATGACAATTGCTAGAAAATCGGTATTGTAAAATTATTTAACTGAATGATCCTTATTATTGGACAGATGCTTACACAAAAATATCCATTGTTTGGTATTAATAATTTACAAAATAATAACTGTGAACTTGGCTAGTACTTACCATATAATGGAGGTAGGATTATTGGTAATGCTTTGTATCCTAATATTATCAGTCTCCTTTTGTCCGAACAGGTTGGCGAGCTTCTCGACAACTTTACGTTTGTTTTTAGCGTTGAAGGCGAGCTTCAAGAACGGATACTCCAAGGTCATCTGGAACTCGACCGTGGGTCGGATGGGAGGTGCCTTCACGACCTCCACTATTAAACTGTCGTACGCAGTCTTCTTGCTGGAGTCTTCAGCAATCTATTAAAACAAAAGATCTAATTTTAAAAAAGAATATCGAAACATTTTACAATTTAAAAAAAAAAAAAAATCAAGTGAGTACATAATGATTAAAATCGGTTATGAATTGTAAATTAATTTTTAACCCAAGATGTCAAAGTAATAAAAACAAACTCTATTTGTAGACTACTTGAATTGAGATACTAAGTTGAATGTTTTTTTTTTGTTTTTTTGTTTAGTGCATGTGTGGACGAGCTCACAGCCCACCTGACTTTAAGTGGTACTGGAGCCCATAGACATCTACAACGTAAATGCCGCCACCTATCTTGACATATAAGTTCGAAGGTCTACTGTTGATCGATTATATTGACTGTTTACCAGTTGATAAGAAACGCTGCCCTCGTCCGTAGTAGTGGGCAAGCCGTAGAACTCTTGGTTATTGGCGTCAAATTGTAGCCAGTGCCCGGCCGGGATCTCGGTGCGGTCGCTGTACCGCAGCGACAGTATGAGGTTACGGGTGCCTCCGTCTTCTGGGTCGAAGAATGTGTCCTGGGCGAAGTGCAACAAAAATAATAAACAAACATTGGGACAAACAAAACAAGGCTTCTCCATTAAAAAACGTATGAGAGATGCGAACTCTTCAACATTTATATTATATACATTTTAAATTATAGATAGAAAAATAAATATAAATATTTTTTTAAATACTTCATTAAAATATGGGACGCTACTCGTTGCTAACGCTCGCGCTGGCCTGTAACAGGTATACTACGCGCATGCGTTCGAGTGCCACGCATTCACTCTCGCTCTGTCTCTTTCTATTCGATGGTAGCGTTAAACGTTTAACGCAACCTTGTTGAAAGTCGCATTAGAAGTTTCACTTAAAAAAAAAGTACTCCCAGTCTTCTAGCGCTGGCACGTCGCTCTTACCTCGGGCACCTTGTAGACGAGCAGGTGTCCGGCGGAGGCAGTGATGTGGTCGACTTGGTTGCGGGTGACTGGCGGGTAGGTGTCGGGCGCGCGGGTGGCGGGCGGCGCGGCGCACACCCCCGCCCCCTCCCACCGCACGCCGCGCACGCCCAGCTCCGGGGACATGGCGCGCGACAACAAGCGGGACCCGCGACCCGGCTCCGACTCAGACTCCATTATCTGTCAATAAATATTATTATTATAAACTAGCTGACCCGGCAGACTTCGTAGTGCCTCAATCGATAAATAAAAGACAAGATTTTGTATGAAATAAACTTAAAACAAACAAAATGAATCCGTTCGACGAGGGACACATCAAAGGAAAAACAAAATTGTTATTTTATTTAATTCCGAACATTTTCATTCATTTGTCTACCTTTTAAACCTTCTCTGAACTTCCAGAAATAATTCAAAACCAAAATTAGCCAAATCGGTCCAGCCGTTCTCGAGTTTTAGCGAGACTAACGAACAGCAATTCATTTTTATATATATACATAGATAGAAGATAGATGTAAACGTTCGAAAACAAAAGAACTTCTATTTTTCTATGGCACGCAATGCATTCAAATTTAAATTCGGCTGCTATTACCAAACATTGCGAGTGCACGAGAAATTGAACTTACAAAAATGACATAATATGTATACGTATGTTTGCTAACTTGCTTTAATTCAAAAATAGACCTTTTTATATCACTTTAGGGAGGTAATTAATACTAATCGCTTATGTATGGCGCTTAATTAATTAGAACGAAAATTCGTTTAATGAATCATAAATTGTTAATGTAATTTTATTAATTTAACATTCCCATAGTGTAAAACAATGTGATATCTATCTATATATGTAACGGAATCTTTTGATAGAATTTTTACCAACTTCAAGATATCTGGTTACCTTGAAAACTTGCACACGTCTCAAAAACAGATGATAATATATTCTTTTTATCATCATCAGCCTGCGGCAGTCCACTGCCGGACATAGGCCTCCCCCAAAGCTCGCCACTGAACCCGATCTTCGGTTCTACGCATCCAGTTACTGCCAGCTGCCTTGCGCAGGTCGTCGCTCCATCTAGCAGCAGGGCGTCCTACACTACGTTTGCCGGTTCGCGGTCTCCACTCCAGAACACGTCTACTCCACCGGTTATCGGCTCTACGACATATGTGACCAGCCCACGGCCACTTCAGCTTACTTTCTTATACTTTGGTCTAATATCCTGTCCGGGAACACCAGGATATATAAAAAAAAAGTTCAAAATTTTTAACAGCACTAACCTTCATAAGCCTATTGATGTCATCCATAGGACAAGCCGCGTCTTTCGGCAGGGTATCGTTCGTCCAAACGAACTCACAGAGATCTCCCGTTTGGGTTGCGTTCAGTACGGTCAGGTGGTCCATGTCGGTGTCCCGGAACAAATTCACTATTCCCTCCAAGGCCCTTATCTGCCAGTCGATGGCGTTATTGTACTGCTTGAGCAGCGTGAACTGCATGATGAAGCGGTGGTTGATGGTGCGTCCGCTCTTGTGTTGCTGCACGGTGATGTCTAGCGGGCCCCGGGCCTTGAGGCCGGCGCTGTTCTGAGCTTCCACTATGAAGTTCCAACGTGAGACGTGGGCTTCCAGCGGTCTGAAAGAGTTTATATATTTTTTTATTCATTGCTTAGATGGTTGGATGAGCTCACAGCCCACCTGGTGTTAAGTGGTTACTGGAGCCCATAGACATCTACGACTACCATGATACGACTACATATCTAAATGCGCCACCCACCTTGAGATTTAAGTTCTAAAGTCTCAAGTATAGTTACAACGGCTGCCCCACCCTTCAAACCGAAACGCATTACTGCTTCACGGCAGAAACAGGCAGGGTGGTGGTACCTACCCGCGCGGACTCACAAGAGGTCCTACCACCAGTCATTTTTTATTTGTGGAGTCAGTTACTGTTATGTAGGTAATAAACAATTGCTTCGTTTTACATGCGTCGTTAATTTTACTTATTCTGATATATTATATAGGGAATTTAAACTTACAGTCCGTAAACTTCAAGGTCGGACGGTATGAATTGTATCCATGAATTTTTGCTTAAGGGGACGTTTTCGGCTTCGTACATCGTGAAAGTCAAGTTGCTCCCGTCCTCCTGATCCATGAACAGATCGGTGGGGATTATGTATCTGAAAAAGAAATAAAAAAAATATGTACTACAGATATATATAAGACGATAGTTTAGCAGCACAGCCGTCATCAGTACAGTATTCTGGTGGAGAGTTCATGACGTAGATTCAAAATCACTTTACAATTAAGTCTTTTAATAATTACAATTTAAGATAAATTAACTAGCAGTCCTGCTTGGGGGTCGGAGATGCTTCGTGTATCCTTGAAAAGAGAGTGAGTGTATGAGAAAGAGAGAGAGGAGTCGCTCGAGTTGGTTACGATACCAAATATAACCGTCAAGTGACTTGTCAATACGCCACGGCGCTCCTTCGTACTATCAAAACCAGTGAAGTGTCTTATATCGCTAAAATATCATAACGACAGACATATACATATATTGTCGGTCGTATAAAAATATATAATTATTCGCTTTTACATTCAAAGAACATTGGATTGATTTTCAAAAATAGTGGATCTTTGATTGTACTTGTCAAATTTTTTAAACGAACGTACCTAAAGGCTTTTCCAGCAGTTATAGCGAGTTTCTTCATGTGATGTTTGAGGACCGGTGGTTGGTTGACAGGCATCGCGAACGTCACCGTCTCCGTGGTTTGACCGATTATTGTGCTCTTACCCTCCGTCACAGTTGACTCCTGAATTATACAAATCAAAATATTAACATAAACGACTTAATAAAAATCATTTTCAAACTAATATTCAACATAGTTTGTATTAAAAATAATGTAAAGGTACTCGAGATAAAACGAGTTTCCTGAAACGGTAACACGATTAACACTTTTTGAGAATCTTCTTATAACGTGCTTATTCTTATGATGTTGGACATCATAACTTTTTACTATACGCAATTAGAAAATCAGCTGTTACGTGCGCTCAGGTCAGTGACCGGCTGTCGAAATAGCCAGGGTGGGGGACCCAACCAACTAAGGTAGGCGATCGCAGTTAGCCAGTCCGATACTCGGACAACGATGCTGTCCGTTCTCTCAAGTATTCCTTAGTCAGATTTTAGACAGGTGGTGATATTCTAGACCACTGAACGTCGTCCCGAAATCTCTTTTTTTTTTTCTTTTTTTTCATACCTAAGCTGATAGCCCTAGGGGCTATGTCAGCGTAACCCTAACTTTAGTAGGTGAGCTCACGGGGCTCAAACCTGGTGACGTTGCTAACACGAACCCTAGCAAGAGCCGTGCTTCGCAGAATCTACCACCGGATCGGAAACGCGACCCACTGAGAAGATCCGGCGAGAAACTCAGTGGGCTGTGTCTGAGAGTTAATTTACTCATCGAGCCCTTCGTCGCAAGCGACGGGTTCGACGAGAACGGTGACCGGTGCTTGAAGTACCTAAAAGCACCGTTAGTGGATCGGGAGGATCCGAGATGACGTGTTTTGGGCGACGTCGACTGCTTTCCATTCTGTCCGCAGGATCGGGAATGTAGTTACCGGCGGCCACGATGAGAGGGTTCTCGTGTCGTGCCGCTTTATCGAAGTGGCGCATGGACGCCGACTGCAGATACTTACTGATGGACTCTAAGTCCAGGTCGTCATGGAGGTCGACGTTCCTGACGAACCACGGGGCTCCGACGGCTATCTCAATTAATCATGTACACTCTATGAATCTTTTCGTGATGGCTGCATAATTAACGTGCACTTTATGCAAACGATGCCCAGTGAAGTTTAATTTAGAATTTTAATTAAATTTTGGAGGTTAGTGTTAAAACCAAATAAATACCAAAACAAAACCAAAACTTCATCGCAATTCTTTCTCAAATGACCGACTCAATATTTACATCGTCTCTTCAAAAATACTCACAACATAAGTCTCCTTGGTACGCTATTTACAAACTGTGCTACGGACCTGTTTGGTGACCTCCTGTATAGTGGTTTCTGGTGGATCGGTTGTAGTCGGTACCGTTGTCGGTACAGTGGTCATCGGCGTAGTGCTGGTCGTCGTAGTGGGAGGCGGCGTAGCGACTGGCGTAGTCACCGGCGTAGTCACAGGCGTCGTAACCGGAACAGTGACCGGCGTCGTGGCCGGAGCTTGGGTGGTCGTAGACGTCGTCGTAGAGGATGTGGTAATCGGCTGCGTGGGTGGCTCGGGGGACTGTGACGTCACGGTCGGGGGCGACTCGGACGACAAAGGCGGCAGTTCGTTTGACGCGCGTATCATAACGGTTTGCTGAAAGTGCCATGCGGACGCTCACACGATGTGTCGCGAGTGTGGACGGTAAGACAACGGGTGGACTGCGGTGTTGTGTTCGATTCGTTACAAAGCTTATCTACTACAATTATATTTTTTTGAAGTGAAACTTCTAATTCGACTTCCAACAAGGTTGCGTTAAACGTTTAACGCTCCTGGGGAGAAGAAATAGAAAGAGACAGAGCGAGAGTGAATGCGTGGCACTCGAACGCATGCGCGTAGTATACCTGTTACAGGCCAGCGCGAGCGTTAGCAACGAGTAGTGTCCAATATTTTAATTAAGTATTTAAAAAAAATACATATTTAAATTTTTCTATCTATAATAAAAAAAAAATATAATGTAAATGTTGGAGATTTCGCATCTCTTACTAGCATTCCCTATTATAAGAGCAATCTGATTTAAGGATGAAAAATGAAGAAAGCCACAATACGGAAAGTCAAAAAGAAGTTTCACTTCATTCACGTGCACCAAGTTGCACGTGCACCGTTTTTTTTTTAGTCAAGTAAGTACTGTACAAATTTAGTATGTTTAATAATTATCTATTTACAATGTATAAATACATTTTTTACGATATAATAAATTACGTTGTCTACTCGTCCGTCAGTCGGTTAGTTAACCAGAGAATGTATTGTGAACGCAAACTAGTTCTACCCGTGTTAAATCATCAAAACCTCCACACATTAGTTCAACTACACAGTTAAGGCGAGTACTGAAGGTATACAAAAAAATAATAATTATACAATATATATTTAAATACCATTTCCGGTTCCGTCGTGGTTGGAATGTAATCTGGCACTATGGCAACGTCCTCTAGATGTCTCGATGACACCGGCACAAACGTTATGTTGTTTGTTTCCGAAGCAGATTCGGAGTAAGGCGTTATCTTCACGTCGTGGTCTTCGTCCTGTTGGTGCGTATCGAATGTAGTTTATTTTTATAGCACCAGATTTGGAGTATTATGACAAAAGAAATGTGTCTTTCTTGTGATAAAAATTTCACTTTCATTTATCGATTCTCCAAAATAACGAAAAGAAGAAAAAAGTGTAATTACAATCATGCTACCGGTATCCGCTTTTTAAGTTGGTATAAAATAGGAAATATAGCCAGGTTATAAATACATATGCATTTCAACAAAATTACTAAGTAATAATTTGTGTCTTAATTTGTATAATTTCAAGCTAAATTTACAAGAAACAACAGCAATTCAACTAGCTACACTAAGAAATTACGCATCACGTGGGTACTGTAAAAAAATAGTTTAATCAACTGAAAATGTTTAAGGACGAACAAATCTACTCGTAATACCTGCTTTCTTTCTAGCTACCGACACTATTGTTATTCAATAGGGTTTCCTACTGGGCCGGGTGCACGATACGTAACGCAGGTAACAACCATGCCAATACAGAGACTGCATGCAACACACAAAAGCTGGTCAGCAGGTTACGACAAACCTCCGTGGTATATGTATTAGTAGACGCGGTCTCGGGAGTGGTTTCTTCGGCGCGCGTGGAAGTGTGGTCTTCGGTGGTCGGGGGGACCGGAGAAAGGGAGGTAGCGGTGGTGGAGGGGGGAGGGGGAGAGTTCGTGGTCGTGGTCGTGGCGGGCTCGGTCTGAAACGTGTCGGTGACGGTGTGTGGCTCGCCGTGGTGGTGCCGGTGGGGGTGTGCGGGGGACGGGAGGGGGGACTCCACCTGCCGGCGCGCGCACCGACACACACACACTGTTAGTACTCACACCCTATAACTGAACGATCTGCTCAACACCTAGCCACCTAACCTCATTTTCAGGGCACGGGGCTATGCGAGGATATGAATGTGCGTGTAAGTGATTATTCATTAGCCAACAAAAGGGGCTTCGTTGATCCTCCCAATGACGTGAATACGTGATATGTGACTGCTCGTGAATGATATAAGAGCGTGTGATGATGAAAAACTGAGAGCTTAGATTTAAAGGCAGTTTACCAGTGGAGAGTATCGAAAAAAATATTCTGTATAATAATATTTATTTGAACGTGTAGAACTGAGTGGTCCTATATTATAGCATTTTATTTTATTTTACATTTTATTTTATTTATTTAAAAAAAAGAAAATATTTGAGAAAAAACAAGAAAAAAAGCCCGCTGAGTTTGTTTCGCCGGTTCTTCTCAGGACTGTGGCTTTTTTTGGAACCGGTGGTAGAGTTAACATTTTTATTTGTATTTTGACATTCAACAAGTGTGTCATACTGACATCTAAGTTGAAATAAATGATTTTGAATTTGAATTTGAATTTGAATAGGAGTTTGGTTTTCTGCTCGAGACACAACATAGAATAAACATTCGGCATGCTGGTGATATTATTAACGTTCTATGGATGACGATAGTGAGGTGACGACGTGTAAGTGCAAGATGCATTCATAATATACGTGGGATGACTACGCATTGATGTATCAATTTATTCAATGGAAAATATCACATAGTTACGTTTTTTCTGTTTGAGATTAACAGTAATTATGAATATTAAGTATTTGTAATGTAACTAGAAACATTGATCATGTCTCATAGTTTGCGGCGGAGGTTTTTTCAATAAATAAATTTTAATTTAACTAAAACTATTTTCACGGATTAATCTAGGATCTAATCATTTATCTAATATTTTAATTTATTATAAACACGATTTAATTTTAATAAAAAGGTGAGATGTGTTTACGACTCGCGGATATCGGAATCAAAAACTAAATTTAAATAATCTCAATTAATATTTAAGCAGGTGTTCTATATTGTCCATTGAATGTATGAGGCTACGGTAAATGAAATCATGAATATAATCTCATTCATCGATAAAATGATTATAGAGTGAGCTGACAATAGATATTCACACTTTCATTATACGTCCATAAGTATCATTTTATATAAGATCAAATTTGAAATTATAAACATTTCACAATTCATACATGAATCAATAAATGCAATTGACTATTTATAAGACATTTATATAAAAATGTAGTAACTTTTTAAATTTAGTTCATAGACAGACGGGCTTCCATTCTTTTTTTATTTATTGCTTAGACGGGTAGACGAGCTCACGGCCCACTTGGTGTTAAGTAGTCACCGGATTCTATAGACATCCTAAAGACATCATCTTTTGTATAGTACCACGGCTGATTCACCCTTTAAACCGTAATGCATTACTTGCTTTACGACAGAAATAGGTGATGGCACCTACCCGTGCGGATTCGAAATCTCACCAATATAAAATGACCCGCGACAACGACGACTGTTACTCGGAACACGATTGGATTGTCTATTCCGTCCAGGGGTCACAAACTATATGTATAGTACAGTATTTCAAGGCCCCTCACCAGCTCCGGTACGCCGACATCGTTCCGGCGCGCGTCCTCGAAGTTCAGGTCGTCGTTGTCGTCGTCGTAGCCGCTGTAGTCCGCGTCGTCGTCGCCGTCGTACTCCGCGTCGTACATGTCGCCCGACCCCTCCATCGGGGACTGCCCGACGTTAACACAATACAGTCGCATGTTATCGGCACGGAGGAGGGGGGTTGGGGGGTCTTCTGGTCATTGGCCCGCAAAACATAATCTCGTATACGAGTTTTCATTAAAATAAAGTTTATAAACGTAACGAAAAATCCGATATTAGTTTTTATTCCTCGAACCTTGATATAATCTTTATGTGACCAAAAAGCATGGACTGGCCGCTAGTATTTTTTTCATCTATAATTATCATGAAACTAGAACCCAGGTTTAGATAATTTAACATTGGATCCTCTTTTATAAATAAATGAATTAGGTCGCCATCTTATGACAGATGTTTACCAAAAAAATAAGCTTTGAATTTAGGGTTGTCAGTAAAATTCAATATCCGTTTGAAAAGGACCTTTATTTATAGGAACTTATTTATCTTCTATTTATTATTACAAATCAGTCTTTATTCATCATAATTAGAAAAACGTGACATGTTATAATTATAAAAAAGCAACAAAGTTATAATCCTTCTGTAGAATTAAAATAATTACAGCGGTTAATCACCCAATTCCATGATCCAGTATCCAAATCTAATAGCTCAGATAATGATGCAACACGATCCATGAGTGATAAGATATCGTTAGTAGGTGGTGGAGTACGAAAGACGGTAGCTTCAATATTAAATGAGGATTCAGCGGTGGGTGATGGAAGATGATTGGTGGGTAGGTCGACTGAGTATGTCGATTTTATATTCGAACGACCAGGAATAGGTGATAAAGAACGAGTAATAGGGACCTTAGTCACCGTGGAAGTTTCTAACAGTTGTTGAAGGGCTTTTTGAGCAGGTTCTTGACACATTCTTCGGCTTAATTTTAACTTTAACCCGGGTTAAAGTTACCTATATCAGCACAAATCTTCATCAAACGAATTAAAATCAAAACAAACACGTAACGGCAATATAGATCATATTAATTTTTGTTAAAACTACATCTGTAACCTTTAGTTATTATGAAAAGTACAAACTTACTCTTCTATGAAACTTTTGAGTATGAATATAAAAAACTTTGCAGCGATGTTTTATTTGTTACCCATCCTACCACTTTACAATCAACCTCAAGAAAGAAAAGTTTTGCTGACAAATATCAAATTTTGGCGCGCTTTCTTCGTTCAATAATAAACCTCTTAATTAAAAATTTCAAAGTCTATCGTAAAAAGTATCCCGCTTGGAAATAAAAAAAATTGATATGTAAAAAGTGAGTAAGTGGGCTAATGTTAAACGGAAAGCTTAAGTTACCCTGATTGGCGCTATTTGTTTTTATTCCTCGAAACTTGGTAATCTTTATGTGACCAAAAAGCATGGACTGACGCAAGTTTTTTTTTTCATCATTAATTTATCATTAGCCTAGAATCCACGCTTAGATAATTTAATTAATAGTGTATAATTAATAATGTAGTTTTTGCCTTAATTCGTTACTATACGCGTTGACTCATCCGTAAATATTTAGTAATATCTCGGCAATCGCCTAACTGTTTGTCAAAGTGTCCTATTCTATCTATTTATGACGCGAAGCATATTTATCAATGGCATACAGCCACCTCGGGGCCGAAGGTGGACGGCGATGTCTATGGACTCCGGTATCTGGTTAAAACCAGACTGAAAACGTTCGAAAACTTCAAAGGTCTCACCGAAGTTAGCCGGCCCGTTGCTTACCTGTCGTTTGATTCTGAACGTGGGCTTGACGGCCAGGAGTCTCCAGCCGATGACGGGCAGCCGCAGCAGCTGCTCGAGCGTTCCGTCGCGCGACTGCTCCCGCAGCCCCGCCACCAGCACCTTGTGCCGATCCCACAGCTTGTTCCCGCAGCCGACCTGTCGAATATTACAATTAAAATGCCTTTCTTAAAGAGGACTACTACTTTAGCGCCGCTGTGATTTGAAATTCGATGAAACTGAGTATGCAGAATACTCCTACGATTTCTTTTTGTTTTTAAGGGATTTTATGACCTGGTAACTAAGACCTTTAAGTCATGTCTTATTTTAATTTATATTCTTAATTTTATGAAAAATGATAATATGGAGTGAAATGAAATGAAGATGATTAATTTCAGACATTAATCAACTGGGATGACATTAAATGAAATGAGATGATATTGGATCAAATATAATATCAGTAAAATGGTGGTCATTTACTGAGATTTTTTCAGTGGACTTTTTGGAGGATCCCGAGAAGTTATGTCCAGTGGCTTTGTTTGATTTTCCCACATTTGTGCACTTTCACAGATATTAAACAGTTAATAAACCACCATTATTACACATTTAAACCTGAAGAAACACTAAATAGACAATCAGCGAATCACAACTACCTACACTTTTTTTTTTAATTTCTTCCTCATTTCTAAACTCAGGTGTCGTTTTTTTTTGTCATAATCGCTCTAGTAATCCTTGTATTTTTAGTAGCTTTCTCTTAATCAATAATTGAAATAAACATTTTACTAAAGAATTAATTAATTAATTTAAAATATTAGGAGGATTTAATTAATTTAAAATATTGCATTTCTTTGTACAATTCATGTCCAGATCTGTTATGATGTTATGAATTAAAAAAAAAAGAATTAACTACCATTTTTGTTTTGTTAATCAATCGGTATTTTTAGTATGATAACTATTATTGCAATAGCTATTGCCTAGTATTTAGGTTTACTGTTTTCAAAATAAAATAAAAAATATTCCCCTTCCAAACTTGAACAGCAAAACAAAAGAAAAAAAAAACGAACGCATAAAATTAATCTCAAGCCTCAATGTTTAAGTTCCAATTTAGATCACGAAACGAACACTAATTATAAAACTTGTAAGTGAAAAATTTGACTCGTTCTAAAAGAAACAAACGTTGTAAACCTACAGGGGAAGCTAATATCTATTTCTGCCGCAAAGCAGACTCCCGTTTCGGTTTTGAAGAGTCAGACAGGAGAATAAATACATACGTTCAAATATATGGCAGTTGTGGCATCGCCTCGTTTCCTCAATGAAGAACCGATTCCGCTTAATATCGTGTCCGGATGCGTTTCAGTCTTGTAAGGTTCCATCCAAAATTCGTCCTGTTCAAAAAAAAAAGGATGAATACATATACGCCGTCGAAGAACATTCGAGAACTTTCGAACGTGCGTTGGAAGAGCTCTCTGTCGTTTACGTAATGGCAGTTCTCAAAGCCTTAGCATATTATGCATAGCACAGCATATAGCACAGATGCAAATTATGATAGTGTTTCTACTTCTATGTTAACAATAAATAAATCTATACTAATATATAAATCTACAGTGGTTTTTACGGATGTTCCGTTATAACTACTGAACCATGCATCCGATTGACTTGAAATTTGGTATCCATGTAGAAAATACATGTACTTAATGGATAGGCTAATATTTATATGACCGTTTTAAATGCCCAGCGAAGCGGACGGGTACAGCTAGTAAATAAATAAAAATTAAATAAAAATAAATTATGTACGACATTGATATAAACGAAACACAACATTCATAGCAACTATAGCAAGCATAATGAAAATATACTGTAGCAAAAAAAGTACAATCAATATTTTGACTAGGAAGTCTTGTGAGTCCTCACGGGTAGGTACTACCAACCTGCCTATTTCTGTCGTGAAGTAATAATGCATTTCGGTTCGACTTTAAAAGCCCGTTGTACTGTAAGATCTGAGACATTAGAACTGATATCTTAAGGTGGGTGGCAGCATTTACGTAGTAGACGGCTATGGGCTCCGGTAACCAATTGATACCAGTTGGGCCGTGAGCTACGTCTACTCGCGTCTCGTCTACTCATCCAAGCAATAAAAAAAAATTAGTTTTTTCAAATTTATAACTTACCCCATCAAGAGCCATAAAGTTGGCGAGTTGCATCAGGGCTCTTATCCGCTGCCGAGGCACGATCTTATGGAACGCTCCGTCAACCAGGATAAGGAGAACCAGCCTGTTCTCATCTCCGATGCATGTCCCGTATTTCGAATGAGGTTTGTCTTCACCCCTTTTCACCTGAAATTTTATTTTCGAATATAGCGTTTTTTTTTTTTTTTTATTGTCAGGAGGAAATCGCCGGACTTCCGCCCTTCACTGGGGATGAAGGGCGGGGCATGTCGGAGTCGAACCGACTAAAACCTCCTGTCTCTCAACAACCAACGTCCAAACCTCGCATGAGACAAAACTCATGAAAAGGCAAAGGGGGGAAAGTGAAGCGTTTAGTGCGGAGCACATCTCTCCCATCACCCTCCCCCTCGGGACGCCGGACTGGCGGTCGTCGGCGCCACGACCACCAGCCCTCTCGGTCGGCAGGCTATCCGAAGCCCGCCTAGATGGCGCCGGTTAGAATGGTCTATCCTACGGAATACCCCGCTGGGTCAGAACCAGCGTGGGTTGAGGATAGCCGGCCTTCCATCACCCGGATGCTCATGCATAAAACGCGTGCAGAGCAGCTTGCACGTCGTCTTCTTAGGCCCCCTTCGCCGGTCCCCAGGCCGACATGTGAGGG